AAGGCTGAGGTGGAAGGATCGCCGGAGCCCAGCAGGTCGAGGCTACGGTGGCTGGGAGCGGCCACTGCACTCCAGTCTGGGCAACAGAGACTCCAACTCAAAAAATAAAAATAAAAAAATTCCCAGGGTCTACTCTGGACTTTATGAATCAGTAACTCTGGGGATTCGGCCCAGAAATCCCAGCCCTGTCAAGCCCCCCCCAGGGAATGCGGCACACAGGCATAGTAAACTCCATGGTGTCACTGCACTGGGCTTGAGGGGCCACCTGCCTCCAGCTACTCATCCTTAAACATTGGTCAAAACCTCCCCCACATCCCACCCACTGACTTGAAGAAAAGGAACACCAGACTGTTATAGAGAAATACTGATTTTAATTAAACATAAGGTAAACTCTAGGCATTTGTCATTTTCAGCCTAAAAATTAGCAAAAACTGTTGAAACAAGGCACAGTTTTTTCCCCATACTTGTTACATTGTGGCTCCAGTTACAAAAAAAGTTTCAATGAAAACGTTAAACATAAAAATAGAAGTTTGAGATTAAAAAAAATACATAAAAAGCCCCACAAAACTCGTCAACATTGTTCCTTATTCTACAAAATAGCACCAGTAAGAAGAGTAAAAGGTGTTAAAAACCATTACGACAGCATTTCTGAAATGCAGCTTGTCTGAACTCCCGTTCCCCCTTAAAAAGGACTTATCATGGAATAAAAAGGATTTTAAAATCTCTGGAGGGAGGATGGAGCTTTCATTGCAGCTTCTATTCCCCTGCCATCTTCGATGAGGGGAGGTGTGGGAAATGTGCTTCTGCCCCGGCTGCTGTCACTGCTGAGTTCAGCAAGAGGATGAGGAACTGGGGACGGGGTGCGGAGTCTTACCTAAGCTCCCTCCTTCACGCCCCTCACGTAGGGAAGAAGGACGTGCTGAAGACCATACCTGTCTCCATTGTCATACATGGCAGCTTACATTGTAGGAGTTGGCACACCCCTTACTGAGCTCCCCAGAGAGTTCCATTGCAGTCACTGGGAGGGGTCTAACTAAGGGCGGCACCTAACCTTGGGTTTGTGGGGGGAAATAGCCCTGAATGTGACGATGATGTCATCCCTGCTGAAATCATCACTTTTGTGGGAAATACTCTAATGGACCAAGGACTCTAGCCCTTGTCCTTCCTAAAGGGGAATGTGCTGGGTGAATCCAAGGAAGACACACACGTCACTTCTTTTCACACATTACTTCCTTTCCCGCTAGCCTAGGAAAAGCACCCCGTGTGCCCTAAGAATGACCCTTCACTACGTGTCTACACTCAAGTGAGCACAGCGCAGCAGGCGTTTTCGGAAAAGTAAAGTCTTGCAATAATGGTCTCGGGTCGTTTTTCAGCAGTGACCTGAGTACTGGAGAGCTGTCAGCGCTGTGGTTTTGGTATCTTAGCCATTGTTTCTCTGAGTGGTAAACCCAGGAGGGGAAAAAGCCATCTTGCTACCTACTTCAAGTTTTAAGTTTTAAGAAAAAAATGAGCACCGCATCGGCCGCCCCGAGCAGCCGAGTCTGAGTTGTGCACAAGGAGGTGGCACCTTGGGCCCCCCTGCAACAGTCAGGTGGCTGGCTCTGCTTCCATGGCCCAGGAAAGAAATGAGGTACGCAGGAGGCCCCACAGCCAAGCTAGGTGAGGAAGGGCAGGGCCTGGGGAATCAGGAACCATAGCATAGCTCCTGGGTCCTGGCTCTGGCTCTGCCACCTACCCCAGGGGCCACAGCCCCAGGTGGAACTATTCACATGCAAAGTAGTCCTTCAGGGGGGCGAAGAGGTGTCGGATGACAGGCACACTCCAGGACCTCCCAAGCAGCTTCTGGCGGGCGCCCCGGCCCATGTTGGACACGTCCGTGTAGTGTACAGGAAAGCCGAAGATCCTGGGAGGGTACCAAGGTAGAAAGACAGTGTCAAAAGTGCCCCCGAGCCTGTTCAGGGCTGCTGGGAAGTCCTCAGCTGACAGAGAGGAACCACTCTTTCTTCCTGTGCCTTCCCTTAGTCTCACCCCTTCAGACAGGCCCACGGGGCCTTTAATAACTCCTCTGAGCCCAGGACAAGGTCCCCAGGGTCTTTGGAATACTTGCTCACAAAACATGGCCACGAGGGCAGGCACCTATTTTGTGTCACCGAGCACTAGCTGGTACTCAGAGGACATTTCTGGAATTAACAAATGAATGACTGAATGCACATAGGCCAAGCTGGCCAGCCAGCAAACAGGCATGATCTGTCTTCAAAACAAGTGATAGGAGAAGTTAAGCAATTGCCTTAGTAAGGAACATGGTCACTCAAAAGCAGTGTCAGTCATTACAGACTCAGGCAATTTACAGTGAGTACAGCTCAGCAACCTACTCTCCTTCCCTCCTCAAACCCAGTTGCTGGATTAAGGACCAAGTTGGACGTGAGGCAGGTGGCCCGAAAGAAATCTCCTCTATGGCCTCTACCAGGCGTGGACAGAGGCCACAGGTAGGCTGAATCTCAGTATTACCCAGGATTACAACCCAATACTAAAAAGCACCCCAATAGGCCCGTGGGGGGGGATCAAGACACGCCCGAGATGCAGCACCCCACCCAGGGCTTTGCATTTCTGTGATGACAGCCATCTGTACCAGCTGGAGTAGCACCATTCAGGCCCAACACTGTATGCTTGGGTCTCAAAATAGAGTAACCACAGCATGAATAGATTGGCGAGGTTGCCCATCAGTGTTTCTTTCTACTAATCACAAGTTACTTTTATAGTTAAAAAAAAAACAAAAAACCATTTTACATCATAGAAGAAATAAAACTAGTTTGAGAAATAAAATATCCAGAATGAAAATGTTCTGTACTGAAGCTTTCAGAATAGAGCCAAAAATATAAAGAGGGAAATTCATGACCTTAAAACAACTGTTACTAGCAAAAAATTTTTAAATTATTAAGACCAAAATAAACAGAGGAGTTAAAAGGGAAAATAAAAAAGAACAAAACAAAATCCAAGAGCCGCTTCTTTGCCTCAAAATAGATAAACTTAGCCAAAGAAAGGGAAGATGGAACGGACAGACTGGCTGAATCAGCCAGATACTGAGCACCTTGGATGCAGAAATCCTCTGGCATGGTCTGTCTGTGGGGATTTCCTCAGCCGGCTCCTCAGACACCCCAGCGGCCCTGCATGCTGAGGCAGGCAGATGCCAGGGCAGTGCAGCCAGACAGATCGTGCTGTCTGGTGACCTCACGTCTGATTCCTCACCACCACCCCCTCCGCCATTTCTGCCAGGAAATAAAGGTGAATTCTGAAAGGTCCACCAATATAGAAGACGGTGAGATGACCAAGATGTCAGGCAGGCACCTGCTCATTTGTGCTGCTCCTATGAACAAACGTTCTTCCCCTATTACTGTCTGCATAGTTTCCCTCTCCAAGTGCAGCCTTGCTCACCTTTCGAGCTCAGTGCACCACAAAACATCTTCTTTGCCATTCATGACAACAGGGAAAAGTTGGTTTTTCCCCTGTCTGATCGAGTTCGACTTGGTGGTTATTGTCTGTACTTTCTTTAACTGGAGAACAAAACGATATCATGGAGTGAGCACAGAATGAAAGGTTCTGGGTGGACTCACGGCTCAAAAGCAACTAGGAAAGACAGAGAGGGTAGGCGTGGGAGGGAGGGTGGCAGGGCTGGGCTCACAGAAGGAATGAGAAAAGGGATGAGTTGGGGGGACAAGAACATTTTGTGCTTCCCATAAATGCCAAGAAGTTACCAGGAAGGACCAGCCTCAGAGAGAGTGTGATAAAGTGACCATGAATGATATCACATGGGGCCAAGAAGAGACCAGAGCTCCTGATCAAGGAAGATTATGTGCACAGTGAAAACCACCCAGATACAGATACGGAGAATGGCCAACAGGAGTCAGAACAACTGCATCTTTGATTGATGCAAACACTAGGAATTAGGGTTATGAATGTCTTAACACATGAATCTATTACTTTCACAGCAGACAATTTTTTTTGGCAAAACCATTAATAGCTCCTTTCTCATAGGAGGGCCAGCTGGAATTCTGTGTCCCCATGTATCCAGCATTAAAACTGCCATGTCCAGTTGCCCTTTCTCATAGTTATTTATCAAGAATGTCTCCTATTCTCTGTACTTGAAGACAGGATAGAACAATTACATTACATAGGGAAAGAGGCCCCACACCAGGGAGTCATGTTGAGGGAGAAATAGGAACCAACTGGACACCAAGGTCATCTCTGAAGTCCCCACCTGGAGGCCACCAACTGGGTTTTCCAGAGGGCCGCAGCACAGACCATTTGGGAGCATGCCTTACCTTTGCTGTCCTATTGTATTCCAAGCAGTCCTGCAGCTCGAGTTTATCATTCTTTGATGCTATCACGGGCCTGGGAACAGCCAAAACCCATTACTTTCTACCATCTGTAGCAGGGCCTCGGCTAGGCACCCCACAATGTGGAAGTGAGGGCCCACGTCCCAAAGATGTGCCCTGGCAGTGAACTTGTAACACAAACAGGATGAAAACGACCCTGGCTTAAGCGCAATTCTGTGCACCATAACCTCTAGGAGTACTGCCAGAGGCCCGGGAGCTAAGGCTCCCCTTTTGGAATGTGTATGTCAAAGCCAGACTCACACTGATCAAGAATACTAGACAACGCCGGGCTCGGTGGCTCAGCCTGTAATTCCGTGCCTTTGGGAGGCTGAGGTGAGTGGATTGCCTGAGCCCGCGGGTTCGAGACCAGCCTGGGCAGCGAGACCTCATCTCTACAATAAATCAAAAAATCAGCCGGGCGTGGTAGCACATGCCTGTATTTCCGGCTACGTGGAAGGCTGAGGCAGAAGGATCGTCAGAGACCAGCAGGTCGAGGCTGTGGCCGGGAGCAGCCACTGCACTCCAGTCTGGGCAACAGAGTGAGACTCCAACTCAAAAAAAAATAAAAAGAATACTGGACAGGGAAACAGGAGACCCCTCACAGCTCACTGGCAGAGTGACCCTGAGCAAGTCCCACCACCTCTCTGGGTTCAGTGAGCAGCTTGATTGGATTCTTATGGGTCTAATTGATACAACCAGCACATGACACCCATGACATGGGTGGCTGCTGGGGAGGAAGCAGCAGGAGGCTTTACAACTGGGTGGTACTTTCTGAAAGCACAGGGGGCTCACAAACAACCACAAACCTTGTTTTGCAAACACAGAAGAGAGGCAGACAGATGCCCACAAGGGGGCTCAGCTGAAAGTAACTAAACGGCTCTGGAGTGGAACCCAGGGCAAGAGAGGTCTGAATGTCACATTGACAGCCATAATCACTGTGTTAGGAAGGCCAGGAAGAACTCAAAGAAGGAAAACTGAGCCCACAACAGGGGCCTCCTAGTTCTAACTTGACCTTACCTCCTTATGAACCCAAGAGGGCTGGGGAATCCAAGGAAAAGGACATGGCTCAGTCCTGCCTTGTGCTAGCATTAGAACTGAGATCTAAACACACGCAATGAGTTGGGTCTCTGACCCCAACTGCTGCAGACATACTCATCCTATAAACATCCAAAGCTCAGTGGCAGCATCATGCCTCACCCATCCTCACTCATCCCCTACTTCCAGTGCATCAGCAGCAATCCCCCTACCCTGAAAATATCTTTAATACGACCCTTCTTGCCAATTCCACTCACACTGCCACGAATAGTACCTCCAGAGCACCATGGCATTATCACAACCAGGGCATTATCACAATCCCCAATCCTCTGAGCAATCCAGCAGCCTCACTATTTCCCCATTTCTACCTTTGTCCTGCTGGAGTCTATTCTTGATCCAGAAATGACCATGAATCCAAGAAACAATTCATCCATGGAAGTAAGATAGTCATTCATGTGATTTACCTCTAAAATGGCAGCAATGAGGGCAACCCCTTCGGGTCCCCTTCCACTGTGGGAGCTTCTCTGCCAGCTCAACAAATCCTGCTTTTTCACATTAAAAAATGGCAGCATTGTAACAGTGCCTGGCAGATAGGGCACTCAATGTTGAGTGAACGAGTCCTCCTTAATCCCCCAAATGGACACGGTATCATCTGATGGGCAGATTCACCAGCACAAATGCAAGATAGTCAGCAAAAGTCCTCCAGGCTAATCCAAGCACCCTCACCTCTGTCTACAAGGATCTACATTTTGCTCTCAACAACTCCTTCCAATAATCTCATGTGCAAATATGGGATGTCACAGTGTCATCACATTTTGCATCTTAATTAGCAAATTGTTCTGGAAACCATATATAGAAGGGATAATTAATCCTCAGCTAGACAAAAATGTAGGGAAGGTTCTTGGTAATGACAGTGGGAAGAGGCTAGTCCTCGGGTTACCATCTGCCATATCGGCTCTACCACCTGTTGGCCACAGGCCTAGCTAGAGGTCAGCTCTCGTGAGCTGTAGGAATGTCACCTCTAACAATCCTTTCTAGATGGGTTCCCCTATAGCAACTGGGAGAAGTAGCAATAAGCCCAGCTTAGCAGAGATTCCAGGCACAGGAAAGTACTTGAGGTTCCAGTATGACTCCCAGGACCTAATACTTTCAAGATCATGCCTATCTGCTGCTTGAGCAAGAGGAGTCCTTCCTGAAATTCCTGGGTATTTGTCCCACATTCTAAAAGGGATCAACCATAAGACCACCTTGTAATCTGAAAAGCAGGGTGGGGCTGCTTCTCAATAGAGCCAGTTCTCTCTAGTAGGCTCAAGCATTAGAACTGACATTATCGGGTTTATTTCACCTGGTTATTACCTGCCCCTCTCAGAGCCAATTGTTACCTGTTCATCCCAGGTAGGTTGCCCCAAAAATATCGGGCCCTGTGGGCAGCAGACACTTTGATGGCATCAATCATCACTGGATTACACTGCAGGGAGAAAGAAAGGGGCTATTAGGAGTTCAGGCATCAAGCAGAGCAGGCTTTGACTTGTGCAGGTAACAGGGTTGCCTCCTGGCTATGGAAGAGGCATGATCTTCCCAGTCAGCTGATAAAAAAGTTGCCATCAAGATACTGGCTCAATGACACAGCATATGCGTCAATGACGGGTACAGAGATCAGATCAGCCCTGCATATTGAAAGTATGCCAGATTATAGAATGTGCTAGACAGAGATGGTAAAAGCAGCTCAAAATCGCAAGCAAGCCCAGATCCTGGATTGGGAGGGCAGTGTGCACAACATGTGGCTAGTACCACCAGGCTGCCAGCCGGGTCCAGACAGGACAGAAGCAGCAGCTCTAAAACCTGAGACTGAACTTACGCTCTAAGACTTGGGGAAAATTTAAAAAGTTAAGTGTAAAAATAGTATTTGCAGTGGAGCTGGATGTATATCAAGCAGTGGAATACTGACTCCACGGTGATCCCAAAAAGCAGCAATTTTCATAACAAAAATCTCTGTAGAGTAAAAGCTGAGTCAAATCTCATGAGCATGCAACAGAAGCCGACGGTGGCCTATCATTTTTACTCCATGGGTTGGGGTGAGAGTAGAGATAAAATCCTTTTATCCACATCCTAAGATAACCCACTGCATCCCCTACTAGTCAGACCAAGAACTGGGAAATCACCCTATCATTAGCAAAAGCAAGGCTGTGACAAGATCTTCCCCATCCAGATTGTGACAATCAGGGTCCCAGGTCCCCTCACCTCCAGGAATCGAGAGATGTCCCTCTTGTCGCCGACCTTCATGGCTACGACATTCTCAAACATCCAGAAGAATGGCCGGTCATCACCCTCCTTGGGGCGTGAGTAATTCAGAAGATGATAGAATTCAAAGAAGAGCCGCCCAGTGCCCTCTACAGTCACAAAAGACACAAGGGTTTACTCAAAACCTCTGCCATTTCTGAGACCAACAGGTTCCTAATGCTCTCTTGACAGTGATGCTCATGCTAACTTTATGTCCCCTGAAGTCCTGTGGATGATTAAGCAAGAATGTGCAACACAGCACAGTATTTATTAGCATCCTTCCTTCTGTGGAGTTACAGCAGCACCAACACGCACTGGCCAGAAGCAACCATCTTTCCCTAATGCCACTCCACCCGGACAGCACTGAGGTGCTGCAGGCTCTCTGGGGACCACCAAAAAGATGATGCTCACCATACAGGCCTTTCCTGGCTGGGTTCACATTGGAGAGGTCGTTGCATGGACTTCCACCAATAACCAAGTCAAAAGGGCCCCACTCTTCAATCTGAGGGAGAAAAAGAGTCAGGCTCAGGGAAAGGCGGAGGTGTGGACATAGGAACAAAGAACCTAGCCTTCCAGAACTAGAATTAGAAGATCTAATGCTCATGATCCCTGGTATTTCAATCATTCTCAACTGCAGGGGCAACCACCTCCACTTAATGTGACCACAGGGCTCTTCCATGCAGGGTCGGGGGACATGCCACGGGAGCTAGTGGGGGAAGAGGAGGGAGAGCAGCAAAGGTCCAGCACTCACGTTTTTCTTAGTGATGTTCCGCACATCGTTCACGTACTTGATATTCCCCTCATGCTTCACAGTCCCAACAGCGATGGACTCCTCACACACTTCCGAGGCAACGTACTTCTCCACCTTTATGCCCAGTTCCTTGAGGACCAAGTACCCTGTGGGGCCAGGTAGACACGTGAGCACAAACTATGTGCCTGCAAAGCAGCTTATTCTACTGCTCCCTGCTCAGGGAAAATGAAGGTGTTGCTCACAACCACACCACAGGAGGCTAGGCTGTGTAGAGGGAAACCACAAGGAAAAAAGGGATCCAAACTGGAGAGAATGGCAGTTGTTACCCAATTGATTTCCAATATCTGCACATAACAAAAAATAAAATATAACAGCTATGATTCATTCCCTTTGAGCTGGAGGCAGAGGCTCACACCTGTAATCCCAGCATTTTGGGAAATGGAGGTGAGGGGATTGCCTGAGCTTAGGGGTTCCATCAAGACCAGCCTGGGAATCTAGGCAAGACCTCATTTATATAACAACAAAAGCCAGGCTCGGTGGCTCAGCCTGTAATCCCGCGCCTTTGGGAGGCTGAGGTGAGTGGATTGCCTGAGCCCGCGGGTTCAAGACCCGCCTGGGCAGCAAGACCTCATCTCTACAATAAATCAAAAAAAAAAAAAAAAAAAAAATCAGCCGGGTGTGGTAGCGCATGCCTGTAATTCTGGCTACTCGGAAGGCTGAAGCAAAAGGATTGCCAGAGCCCAGCAGGCGAGGCTGCAGTGGCCAGGAGCGGCCACTGCACTCCAGTCTGGGCGACCAAGTGAGACTCCAACTCAAAAGAAAAAAAAAAAAAAGGCTGGGTTCGGTGGTTCAGCCAATAATCCCAGCGCTTTGGGAGGCCAAGGTGAGTGGATTCTCTGAGTCAGCAGGTTTCAGACCCGTCGGGGCAACTTAGTGAGACCTCATTTCTACAATAAATAAAAAAAGTTAGCCCACCCCGGCAACATGGTGACACCTCATTTCTACAATAAATAAAAAAAATTAGCTGGATGTGGTGGCACACACCTGAGGTTCCAGCTACTTGGAAGGCTGAGGTAGGATAGCCTGAGCCCAGCAGGTCAAGGCTGCAGTGGCCATGAGCATGCCACTGCACTCCAGCCTGGGTGACAGTGAGACTCTAACTCAAAAAAGAAAAGAATTAGAGTGCCAAGAGAGTGAGAATAGAAAGATGGAGCCATTGGTTTTCTGAGAACAAGTATAACCCAGTAACCCTCCCAGGGATCTTTTCATGGCATTGATGTCATGTCAGACAGATGGACAAGGTCTTCAGACTCCCTGGCTACCAGTACCATGAGGAAGCAGGGCATGCCCAGGCACCCAACTCACCTGTCGCAATCCCATCAAACAGGGACAGGACTCGAATGGGCCGCCTTCGGGCTGCGGGAATGGCAGGATAAAGTTTGGGGACTTCCTGCCAGGTAAGTAAAGAGGTCACAGAGATGAAAGGGCAGAGAGAGGCCTTAATCTGAGGGAGAGAAGGGCTGACCCTCAGGGCATTCAGTACTGCCAAGGGAGCAGTTCTGGTGGGAATCCGTGAGAACACATGACATTGCAGCCTAAATTAGGCCCAGACACTCATGTTGATCCTTAGACATGAGCTCCAGATACACACATCACCCGAGAAGGCCTCCCTCTAAGAAGCAGTAAATTCCCTCCTGCTGTACCCTTCCCTCTTAGCTCTGCTAGTTCGGAAGTCAAGCATTTCTTCCCAGGCCCTTGAAGAGCCAGATACTTCGAGGCCAGTGGGAAAGGAATGAGTGCTCCAGCCTGAGAACTACATACAGGAGTTCTCAATTAACTCCATCTCTCAGGCTGTAAACCTCCACTTGTACATCGGAACTGACTTCTTGAGGTCCCATCACCCTATGCCCTGGGATCTGTGGAGACCAGAGCCTGTGGCTTACATATTCATGTCCCATGTCGCTGGTGAAGAAGGCCTGCAGGCGCATGGTCCAGTCCTTGCGGCGCCGCAGGACACCATGGCAGCGCTGTGGGAGACACATGTAGCAGCTCCAGGGCTCCTGAAGCTTGGCCTCGGCCGCGGTGCCCGTGCCCACCAGAACCTCCAGGCACTCGACACAGAAGCACCTGCACCCAGTGGCAGAGGAAAAGGAATGCTTTTGTCATCAGTCTATCTCCTGTGTCCCACACCCCTTCCCAGGGAGAAGGCAGTCCACGGCCTAGAGTCTTCTATGGCACCCAGTTGCTTATCCGTGTGGCCAGCAAGGCACAGCATAATGTGGGTTATAAAGCAAAATGCGGGTTACCTCTTTTTCTTGGATATTCCTTCCCCTTGAATACCCCCTTCCCCTTAATTCCAGTTACTCTGCACAGAAATGCTCTCCCACAAGTACCCGTTAATTTCATGGACCCTTTGAATTGCAGGCCAACTGACACCCCTCCAAATAGGAGGCCTTCCCTAATCCCCACTTCTCTCACAGATATGTCTCTATCAAGAGCCCTTGCCTGACCAAGCATCATGGCTCACACCTGTAATGTTAGCATTTGGGAGGCTGAGGCAAGAGAATTGCTGGAGCCCAGGAGTTTGAAACAAGACTAGGCAACATAGTAAAACCTCGTCTCTACAAAAATAAAAATTACCCAGGTGTGGTCGCATACACCTGCAGTCTCAGCTATTCAGGAAGCTGAGGCAGAAGGATTCCCCTGAGCTCAGAAGGTTGAGGCGGCAGTGAGCAATGCGTATGCCACTGAAGTCCATTTACCCTGGGCAACAAAGACCCAAGACAAAAAAAAAAGAAAAAAAGCCATTTCCCATGCACTAGTTCTTGTCCGTATAGCCCACCCATGCCTGGCATACCATGAAACACAGGAACTGCCTTCCAACTACAGGAAGCTACAGGGTATAACACCTGGAGGCTTGGGGCCCGCCCACATCTTTCCCACAGGGCCCAGTGCGCACCGGCAGCAGCTTGTGTTGCTGCAGAGAAGCAGCTCACGGCCCTCACAGCACACGGTACAGTAGGACTGATAGCCATCATCGTCGTACATGTAGAACAGCTCGAGAAACCGATCCTGGCAGCCAGAAAGACACACTCGTGAAACTGGAGACCTGGCCAGCCAGGACCCACTCACTCGTGGGCTGCAACCCTAGGACACTGCCCTAGAATGAGCTGGTGGTGTCTTGTTATCTTTCACAGGGACAAGTGCCTGTGGTCCGCATGCCACTGCCCTCTGCCATTGCCTCCTACCCAGAAAGGGTGGGAGGTATCTGCATCCCAAGAGGGCCTCATTAGTTTCTGCACCCAGGTGCTGTTTTCTGGGGAACGTGGGGATGTATGTAGAGAAAGGAGTAGAAGGTCTCACCTGGCATGTCTGGCAGAGGCCCCCCTCAAAGAGAGGGTGGAAGGACACAGGGTTTTTCCTACCACAGGACAAACAGCTATCTGTAAGACAGGGTTGGTTTGTTGCCATGTCATAATAGCATGTCACAGCTATATGACATATGCTATTATGACATAATAGCATATGTCATAATAGCAGCCAGGGCCTCTTGGTTCTTGAGTGTTTCTTCCACACCCACACCCTGCCCAAGAACCCTCCAAAGGTGGTGTTCACACTTCAGAGATGCAGAAAGGCATAAGGGGCAGAAGGGCTGCCCCCAGGACACTTGGCAGAACCCTAAGTCAGAGGACCTCCAGTAGAAGGACACGCTTGGAGACCTGAGGTCACAGCATAGAGCTCAGGGTTAACCCAAGCCGGATGGAAAACCCCAGGACTAGGCAGGCCTTGGGCCCTGGCCCAGGCTGCGAAGGGAGGACCGGAAGGGAGAGAATATTACCTTCCAGACTGTTCTTATTGTTGATGACATCGGAAGCCATTTGTTCTGTCAAGAAAAGAGGGAAAAAGTCAGAGGTGAGGTCAAGGGGCTTTATGATCAATTTAGCTACGCATCTTCACATCTGCCCACTCCTGTCCTGAGCATGGGCAGCAGGTTCCAAGAATCACCTCGGCTCTGATCTTCCTCCCCACGATCCTTGCCATTGTTATAGCAATTTGTCTTGAGGCGCTTGGGTGGGGGACAGTAGTCAGCGGTGGCTGAGTCATCAGCTGTGCGTTTTCGAGTCTTGTTCTCTGTGAAAGGTTAAGAAGACCAAAGTCACTGCTAGTACGAGGCTGGTGCAAAAAGCATGTAGGCCCAGGACAACACTGTGCTGGGTCTGGGTGTCAGATGCATCTAGGGTAGGACAGGGATCCACCCTGGGCATATGTGACCCCCCCCACTGTGCAACTAGAACATGAGCTCACGGGGCTTGGTGGTTCAGCCTGTAATCCCACGCCTTTGGGAGGCTGAGACGAGTGGATTGCCTGAGCCCGCAGGTTCGAGATCCGCCTGGGCAACTTGGCAACACCTCATCTCTACAATAAATCAAAAATTAGCCGGGCATGGTAGCGCGCGCCTGTAGTTCCAGCTACTTGGAAGGCTGAGGAGGCGGAAGGATCGCCGGAGCCCAGCAGGTGAGGCTGCAGGGAGCGGCCACTGCACTCCAGTTTGGGTGACAGAGTGAGACGCCAACTCAAAAAAAAAAAAGAACATGAGTTCATTCAAGCTCTTTCATCTAAGACGCATGAGGGACACATGTCTAAGAGGTTCTGAACAGCTACTGGAAGTAAGAGAGACATCCTTCTAGACTCAGCTAAAGAGCATCAGATAAAGCTCCAGTCACAGCTACAACATGCCCTGTCTTTCTGCCGTGCCCAATGTTGGAGTTGGAAGGCAGGGGTGAGACTACTGAGCACCTGACACACAACTAGGGAGAAACTTAATTTTACAACACCAAATGATTCCATTTACTTGTTCATTAGGGTTACCTTCAACCTGTCTTTTTTTTTTTTTTTTTTTTTTTTTTTTGTTAGAGTCCCAGTCTGTCACCCAGACTGGAGTGCAGTGGCCGGGACCTGCTGTGCTCCAGCGATCCTTCCGCCTCAGCCTTCCAAGTAGCTGGAACTACAGGTGTGTGCTACCACGCCCAGCTCATTTTTTGATTTATTGTAGGGATGAGGTCTCGCCCAGTTGCCCAGGCGGGTCTCGAACCCTCGGGCTCAGGTAATCCACTCACCTCAGCCTCCCAAAGGCGCGGATTACAGGCTGAGCCACCAAGCCCGGCTTATTCTTCTTTTTCATGTATTTTTTTGAGTCTCACTCTGTTACCGAGGCTGGAGTGATGTGGCACACTGCTTACGGCCACCACAGCCTCGACCTGCTGGACTCAGGTGATCCTTCTACCTGGGACTTCCTAGTAGTTGGAACCACAGGCACACGCCACCACGTCAGTTAATTTTTGCTGGGGCTGGTCTTGAATCCCTGAGCTCAGGCGATCCTCTTGCCTCTGCTTCCCAAAGTGCTGGAATATAGGTGAGAGGCACCACGCCTGGCCTGCTTTTTTTAATTTAAGTTTTGGCTGGACGTGGAGATTCAAGCCTTTAATCCCAGCACTTTAAGTATGCTGAGGTGAGAGATTACCTGAGCCCAGGGGTTTGAGACCAGCCTAGTCAAGTTGGCAAGACCTCATCTCTACAATAAATCAAAAAATTAGCTCTGTGTGGTAACGCATGCCTATATTTCCAGCTGCTTGGAAGGCTGAGGGAGAAGGATCACCAGAACCCAGCTGGTCAAGGTTGCAGTGGCTGGGAGCATGCCACTGCACTCCAGTCTGGGCAACAAAGTGAGACTCCTGCTCAAAAATAATAATTTTTTAAGTTTTATGAAATTAGTCAATTGTACTTAATAATCTACGTTGACATAGCTAAGACAGTTCAAATATTTTCACTGCAAATTTAGCATCAGAAGAACTGAAATGCAAGGACAGCTACAGTGGCTCACGCCTGTAATCCAGTACTTTAGGAGGCCAAGACAGGAGGATTGCTTGAGCCCAAGAGTTGCAGACCAGCCTGGGCAACATAATGAGACCACATCACTAAAAATAAAGAAACAAGATATAAAAAAAGAACTGGGCCGCGCTCGGTGGCTCAGCCTGTAATCCCGCACCTTTGGGAGTCCGCGGGTTTGAGACCCGCCTGGGCAACTTGGCGACACCTCATCTCTACAATAAGTCAAAAATTAGCCGGGTGTGGTACTGCGCGCCTGTAGTTACAGCTACTTGGAAGCCTGAGGCAGAATGATCGCCAGAGCCCAGCAGGACAAGGCAGCAGTGGCCGGGAGCGGCCACTGCACTCCAGTCTGGGCGACAGAGTGAGACTCCCAACTCAAAAAAAAAAAGCACTTAGCATGTGCTGTCAGATGTATAAAATAAACATGAGATGTAAACTCTTACCTAAATATGGAAATGTTAATGTGGATTTAAATAAAATTCATGAATAGTATTAATTTCTAGCTATTTTTTCTCTATAAGTTGGAGTCTCACTGTCGCCCAGACTGGAGTGCAGGGGCATGGCTTATGGCCACTGCAGCCCCGACCTGCTGGGCTCAGGCGATTCTTCTGCCTCAGCCTTCCAAATAGCTGGAACTACAGCACACATTACCATGCTCGGCTAATTTTTGATTTATTGTAGAAATGAGGTCTTGCCAAGTTGCCCAGGCTGGTCTCCAACCCATGGGCTCAGACAATCCTCTCACTTCAGCCTCCCAATGCTGAGCTACCACGCCCAGTGGATTAGTATTAATTTCACCTGCTCCTTTTTACTCGTTTGAAGGAGGCTATTAGAAAAATTTTCAGATATCCTGTGCCTTCCATAATTATACTCCATCTACGCCACCCAGCACGTCCTAATTATGTGCCTCCCATAATCCTACTCCATTTATAATGCCCAGCAAGTCCCATGGACATGGTTAAATCTGACTCTGCCCCTAGGAAAATCATACAGCCATTAAAAACCAGAAGAACCCTTTAGTGACAAATTGACATTTGACAATGATTCCATTAACATTAAGACAAAGGGAAAAGATGAACCCAATGTGTACAGAAAAGGATGTGCACTCGGCAGTGTTAACCCAGAGGGTGTTTGTGAGGGTGGGACGTGAAGAGAGGGTAGGGCAGGAGTTCAAGCTGACTTCAAGAAATTTGATTCTCTTCCAGTGACCACTGTGTATGTTAAGAAATCAAAAGAAAGTACACAGAAAACAGTGCAGTCAAAAAATGGGGAGGGAATACCGTATTTCCTGGATTCTAAGGTCCCTTTGCCTGCACGACGCACCTTCGACTTATTAACCACTTTTTGGGGAAAACAAAAAACAGAAAACATTACATTGAACGTATGGATTGTAAGTCACACCCTGGATTGCAGGTATTGGTCAAAATGTTAGGAAGTGGCTTATGGTTCTTTTTAAACACTTTCCAAGTTTTCTCCAATGAGCAGAGTTTAACTATTTTGTCCTTTGATTAAAAAGCTGTTAGTACTGAGAACAGATTCCATCCAAATTATAGGTACTTGACTTTGAGCAGGAATGTGACCAGGGAAGCCAGACATGGCTGACACAGCCTTCATATGTACCCTGGCCTGTCTGACCATAGACCTGTGGTTCCTAACATAAGAGGCAGGCTTCAAGGTTGCTGGAAAACTGTATGGGCTAAGCGAGAACAGGGTGGCTGAATCGCCAAGAGGCAGTGTTCCCCCAGCAGTGGGTGTACACAGGGACTCTTGCCCACCTGGTTGCGTGTTGTTGGGTTTGAGGCCTTCGATCCCAGTGGGCTTGAAGCCCCCATGGGCCCACTCCAACAAGGGTTTCAGCTGGTCCTCCATTGAGTCTCCAGGGCTGCCAGTGAAGGTCTTGCCAGCTCGCACCCTGGCTTTCTGCAAAGGCAGAGTCTGTGATGAGGGGAGGGTTCTTGCCAAGCTGCACCCAGGGACACACTGGCTGGGGCTTACAGTCCCTGTCTCATTGGGCCCCTTCATAACCAGACAGCTGTTCTGGGCAGGGAAAGAAAGAGCTAAGCAGGGAACAGGGTTTTCAAGGAGGCACCAAATCTGATCCCTTCCCCATAGGTAAGGTACATGGGCAGATCCCTCTCAGAGAGGGCACAGATGTACCAGCTGGCTCCCTCATGTTAGGCACTGAGGTGAGCCAACACTCTCTCATCCCCTCTGTGCCTTATCTCCATAAAGGAGATGGGGATGCTGCAAACAGTGGCTAATACCTACAAGCCCAGCACTTCAGGAGGCTGAGGTGAGACAACTGCCTGAGCCTGCAGGTTCAAGACCAGCCTGGGCAACTTGGTGAGACCTCATTTCTACAACGAATCAAAAAACTAGCTGGGTACGGTGGCACATGCCTGTAGTTCCAGCCACTTGGAAGGCTGAGGCAGAAGGATCACCTGAGCCCAGCAGGTGGAGGCTGCAGTGGCCATGAGCAAGCAGCATGCCACTACGCTCCAGCCTGGGTAACAGAGTGAGACTACAACTCAAAAAAAAAAAAAAGATGGGGACATTATCAAGTATCAGGTATTATCTCACAGCAATTAGCACAAAGCAGACTTTCTTAAATGCTGGACAAAGGCAGCTCCAGGACAGGGTGGAGTGATGAACAAAGTCTAATGGCTCACAGGGGCGAAATAACACAGTCCCACAGACAAGGGGTGGGGGAGTAGCTCGCCTCAGCTCTGTCCCAGTTTTGGCCTTGAACCCATCTACTCATGAGGAGACTTTGCATTCCCTGGTTATGTACATTCACTGACAAGAATCCTGCACCTGCTACTTACCAGTGCAGCCTTCCGATTAGGAGTTAACAGTACTGAGAGTCAACCGACAGAAGCTGGGAGGCCACAGTAGTATCAAATCCCCCCTACTCAGGCCTACCAGGCCAACAGCATGTAATGTTGGCATTCACTTCCTATCTCGCTGCCTGTTCCCACGAGCCACCTGTGACCATACTCCATCCTGAGCTAGCTTTCTGCAGGTCTCTTGCATCCCCCATCTCAGGGCTAGGGCCTCAATCCCAAATCTCATGGTACCTCCAGGGCCTGGTGCATGGCCTTCCTGTAGGACACGAGCTTATTAAAGGAGGTCAGGTTGAAGTGCTGACTGAACAACCCCAGAGCCACCAGTTTGTCTGCAGAGACCTAGGAGAGAAAGAAGTCATCAACGTTCACCTACACATGTGCCTCTCCCAGACTCTGTTAGCAGGGAAAAATTTCACACACTAAAGTGAGAGCCCAATCTTGGGGATAAAGTCCAGAGACATCAACTCAAAAGTGAAAGAAAGAAGCAGAAAATAGAAATGGCACCTCAAAAGTCCAGAAGCACCTATAGTTAGAAATGCAGGAAAGCAGGGTACTCTGAATACAACTAGAGGTACCTTGTGTTGACATCTTAGGACCAGGTGTTCCCGGTGCCCAGCCCTGCGGCTCAGTCCTAAAATTCTCCTTCCTGAGCATGAAGTCAACAATGACAACAGTTGACTCTTTAGCCTTTTAGCAAATGAATTCACTATGCGTTTAGAAACAATGATTGAGCCGGGCACAGTGGCTTATGCCTGCAATCCCAGCACTTTGGGAGGCTGAGGCAAGTGAATTGCCTGAGCCTGCATATTCAAAATAATAATAATAATTAGCTGGGTGTGGTCACGTGTGCCTGTAGTTCCAGTTACTTCAGTTACTTGCAAAGTTAAGGTGGAAGATCACCTGAGTCCAGCAGTGTGCCACTGCACTCCAGCCTGGGCAACACAGTGAGACTCCCTCCACCTCAAAAAACCCAAAGTTTGGCACTAGCATTTTTTGTTATTGTGCTAGATTTTAGTTCTTTGTACCATATATGAATAGTAGGAGAGATGAAACTGGGTGTTCGAAGTACTAATCAGAACTGAAGACATGGAATGTTCCACTCTCCACAGAAGGTGCACACGCATTTTTATGCCTTTAAGCTCTGACTTCCTGTGATGGGTGTGACCACCATTGGTGAGAAGAAACTGTGGCTCTGGCAGAGAGAAAAGTGCTCATAAGCAGCCACTGCTCCCAGTGGCCAACTGCCCCTGTGCAACACAAGCAGCATGTTTGGGCTACAGAGGCCCAGTTCAAGCCCCTGGCCAGGCCCCATATTGTCATTTCATCCCATAACAGCCTCACTGCATGTCATTAGCAGATCCTGTCTTGCAAATTGCAATTTATGTCTCACAGTGCAAATGCAATTGCAAACCACCTATCTTTCTTCATTTCACAGAAGTCATTGCCTGTGTCCCTGGAATTTGATGCTTCATGGTCAGCACAAGACACTTGTCCTTCTCCCTCTGCTGGTCAAAGAGAGTATTAGCATGCAGCATCTCTGCTACCATGGAGACGCCACACCCCAGCACTCTAGCCCCTGGGAAGGCCCACAGGAGATCAATTTATGTTGACTCCCAGGGAATTTACTGGATGGTTCTTTACTCCCGTGTTTGCCTCCACCCTGTCTGGCTTACTGTACTTCCAACAAGTATTGTGACCTAACCTTTCTCAGAGTAAAGGTGGGACACTAAGATGTAAACGCAGAAAAGGTATTCTGTCTTCACTCTTTCAATAAAAATCTTTGAAGACCTCAGAATGTGCATTCAGCAGGGTATAAGAATCCAGATTGACTAACTTATACTCAGCTGTCTTCCTTAACAAACCCCCATCTTCAAGAAAGATTTGGAATTAGTACCAATCACCAATAAGCCCTGATCAGGGTACAACAACTCTTGCCTGTAATCCCAGCACAAGGAAGGAATATGACCATGACAACACAGGAAGACCTCATCTATATTTAAAAAATAGTCAGGTACAAGTGGCTCATGCCTGTAATCCCAGTACTTTGGGAGGGAGAGGCAAGAGGAATGCCTGAGCTCAGGTGTTTGAGACCAGCCTGGGCAACCTGGCAAGACCTCATCTCTACGATAAATCAAAAACTTAGCCGGCCATGGTAGTGGCACATGCCTGTAGCTTCAGCTACTTGAAAGGTTGAGGTGGAAGGATCACCTGAGCTCAGCAGTTCGAGGCTGCAGTGCCTGTGAGCAGGCCAGTACACTAGAGGCTGAGTGACAGAGTGAGACTCTGAATCAAAAAAATAAAATATAAGCCAGGCTCAGTGGTTCAGCCTGTAATCCCAGCAACATGGGAGACTGAGGTGAGTGGATTGCCTGAGCCCGCGGGTTCGAGACCCACCTGAGCAACTTGGCAAGACCTCATCTGTACAATAAAAATCAAAAAATTCAGCCAGGCGTGGTAGCGCACGCCTGTAGTTCCAGCTACTTGCTTGGAAGGATCACCGTAGCCAAGCAGGTCAAGGCTGCAGTGGCCAGGAGCATGCCACTGCACTCCAGTCTGGGTGACAGAGTGAGACTCCAACTCAAAAAATTAATTAAATATAAAAAAATAAAATTCATCAACAAGGGTACCTGCATAATGAACATTTGTATATCTAAGCCGGAATTGTACCTCACATCTTTAAAAACAAAATTTAATTTAATTTAAAAAATCAATTATCCAGGCACGATTGAGCACACCTGTAGTCCCCTCTTACTTAGGAGGCTGAGGCTGGAGGCTTGCTTGCATCCAGGATTTGGAGGCAGTGGTAAGCCATGACTGTGCCACTAAACTCTAGCCTAGGAATTTTTTTTTTTTTTTGAGTTGGAGTCTTACTCTGTCACCCAGACTGGAGTGCAGTGACTGCTCCCAGCCACCGCAGCCTCAACCTGCTGGGCTCCGGTGATCCTTCCGTCTCAGCCTTCCAAGTAGCTGGAACTACAGGTGCGTGCTACCACGCCTGGCTAATTTTTTATTTATTGTAGAGATGAGGTCTCGCCAAGTTGCCCAGGCGGGTCTCGAACCTGTGGGCTCAGGCAATCCACTCACCTCAGCCTCCCAAAGTGCGGGATTACAGGCTGAACCACCCCTAGGAATTTAAAACAAACAAAAAGCTCTGAAATAAACAGCTCTGTAAGAAAAAACCTTGTCATAACTGCTACCAGGTGACTCTAAACCCATTTCTAGGCCACCCAGGCAGGCATGTCCTTCTCTCTCCAGGGCTAAACGGCACTTAGAGGCATCGGCTGTCCTTCCTGTGTCTTTCAGGCTTCTCCACCGAACACTCAGGGTGCTATTCCTGTGGCAACTCCTGATACCTCAAGTCACTCTGACACCACACTGGTAATTCTGCCCCCAGAAAAATAAATGCATAAATCAAAAACAAAAAAACCCAAGTAGCCATGGTTTCATAACTTTGTCCCCTGTGAGAGTAGGCTAAGCTGTCTCATAAGACCCCAATAATCTGTTTCAGCTAGTTAACAAGGGTGTTTCGTTCTTCCCTCCAGCCAGTGTGAGGGCAGCCTCCTCCATCTGCAGAAAGCAGTCACAGGACTCGGTTTTCAAGACAGTGGACACCTGGTCTTATTCTGCACTCACCTCAGAGAACTTGCCATCACCAAACCACTGGACCCACCGCATGCCGGGCATGGCCTGCCGCTTGGAGGTGACTTTCCAGGACACCACTATGGCAGGCCACCAGGAGAAGCCCTTGATCTTTCCCCACACGAGGTCCCCTAGTCCAAACTCCTTTCCATCCTGGAAGAAAAACCACAAGAATCCCAGGACCACAATCCCAGGATGGAGACAGACTGCCTGGGCCAAGTTCCTCCCACTGCATTCACCCTAAGAGTAATAAAAAGCTTGTGATATGCCCTGAAAACATGCGTGTCAATGAAGTCAGTATGAAGTATTCTGAAGTAAGGCACAAATCTGTACACCATATACGTTTGTCCATGAGTAAGGGGGTTCATGCAGCAATGCTTAAGTGAAACGTAAACCTCAATTGGTTTAACAAGCTGTGATCCAGACCACTGGATTCAGACATGAGCAAGAGGCAACTTTAGTTCTATAACTATTTAATGAAGCCGGGCTTGGTGGCTCAGCCTATAATGCCGCGCCTTGGAAGGCTGAGGTGAGTGGATTGCCTGAGCCCGTGGGTTCAAGACCCGCCTGGGCAACTTGGTGAGACTTCATCTCTACAATAAATCAAAAAATTAGCTGGGCGAGATAGAGCGCGCCTGTAATTCCAGCTACTTGAAAGGTTGAGGCGGAAGGATCACCGGAGCCCAGCAGGTCGAGGCTGCGGTGGCCAGGAGCGGCCATTGCACTCCAGTCTGGGCGACAGAGTGAGACTCCAACTCAAAAAAATAAAAAAACAAAAACTATTTAATGATAGGGACAGAATTGTGCAGTACATATGCAATCACAATACATATGCCTATGTATAAATAATGTTCAGAAAATTACACTATCAGGAGGTAAATTAACTCTGGTGCTGGACTTACTAGGTCTAATAGGACTATAGGTCTAAAAGGAGAATAAAGGAACATGTTGCACATGGAATATATTTAGCATACATTCAAATATTATGACAAAATGAAGATGGTTGTCGTCACCATAAGCTCCCAGCAGTGGGTGGTTAACAGCTGTCCCTTCCCTGTGTTCAGCAAGCCCTTCTCAGCAGTACCTGATACTCGGCAGTGTCTGCATCTCGAATCTCTACATCCACCTGGGGGGACTCCAAGCACTCCTGATGACCATCCTGCACTAGGCGGGAGTAGGGGGTACTGCTGCTCTGAGGTGTCACAACTGCATCATCCGTGTCATCGGTGAGGTCGATGGTGAGGTAAGGACTGGCAGGAGACAGCCAAGGTGTGCCTACTGAAGATGCTGCCCTCCGCCTCAGCGACTGTGGACAGAAGGATAATCATTTGGTAACAGCAAACCAGGTGGCTGACCGAAGACCAATCAATGGTGCCCCTAATTGCTTCCCAGGCAAGAATGAAGGCATCAGTCAAGGAGAGAAGAGATCACAGAGGCCGGTTTCCCAGGAACAAGCACCCCTTGAGTGGTGGGAGAAAGTCATTGTAATCATCTCAGCAGCAGAGAGAACACTGACAGGTAATGACGAGGGACTCCAATAGCCAAGCTCAGAGGGGAGTTCGCTGGCTTCTTGTAAGCATGTACTGTGAGTCCAGTCTCACGGCGGTGTTTCTGCACTAGGGTTGAAAAAGACACTAGGGAGAAAAGATAGTTCTGGAAGTTAGTGGTTCCCAGCTTGTCTCAAAGGTGGAACAAGAACCCAGGGAACTAGTAATTCTTCCATCCCTAGCAGAGTTCCATCCAAGATCAGGCCAGGAGAGACGCCAACAGGCTTAAGGGACGCTTTCCCAGGAAAACAAAGAAAAGCAAGATCCTGAAAAGCAAAAAAGTGTGAAGAAAGGACACAGTTATCCATCAGCCACCGTGAGAGAGGTACAGTTCCAGTTAGAGATGGGCAGGGGGATCTGGGCATCTGGGGAACCAACCCTGGTAGCCGGGAACTCCACAGGGTACTCATCCACGTGGCTGCGGCCCTGCCGGCCTCGGGTGGAACGTGGGGAGGGCCTGGGCCTCTCCTGCCTGGAAGTGCTGTTGGTGTTTCGGGTCCGGACCTGGAAGCAAGAGAGGATAAGCACCGGGCCTTAGAGACTCAAGGTATGGGACCTGGGGGAGGGCCAGGAGAGTGTGGTCTCGACTGGAAGTGAACAGGTGAATTAAGTGAGGACTATGGACTGAGCAATCCCAGGTCCTTGAATCGGGAGGGTGGGTGCTGGCTGGGCCATCTGACACCTCCAACAGATCCAGGTCCAGCTGTCACAGCAGGCAGTCTTGGCCAGCTAAAGCTGGGCCCTGCCAGTTGGGGCTGAGAAAAAAGAAGCATAATGCCAGCCGGGCTTGGTGGCTCAGCCTGTAAACCCGTGCCTTTGGGAGGCTGAGGTGAGTGGATTGCCTGAGCCTGTGAGTTCGAGACCCGCCTGGGCAGCGAGACCTCATCTCTACAATAAATCAAAAAATCAGCCGGGCGTGGTAGCGCATGCCTGTAAATCCGGCTACTGGGAAGGCTGAGGTGGAAGGATCGCCGGAGCCCAGCAAGTCGAGGCTGCAGTGGCCGGGAGCGGCCACTGCACTCCAGTCTGGGCGACAGAGAGAGACTCTAACTCAAAAAAAAAAAAAGAAGCATAATGCCAATTCCAGGGTTCTCTAGATGGCAGAGAAGTCCTTCGGCTCTATGTCCCTGCCAAAATGGCATGAACATGTGTTCAAATTCTGCATACAAGAGTCAATAGAACACGAAAGGGGTGTACACACCACGTGCTCGATGGTGACTTCCCCAACCGGCACTAGCTCTCAGTGTCAGTCCAGTCTCTACCTTGCTGGGTGGCCATGCACAATAACTGCCTTCTTATTTCTGGACCTCAGAACAAATTCACCCACAGAAGTGACAGATTACCATGTCAAATGGCAGCTAAGCCACCAACACTGCACCCTTGGGTACTTCTAAGAATGTTCCAAGAACTGCAAAGTCACTGTGTGAAAGAAAACCTTCCTATGACAGTCCATGAGGCGTGCTGTCATTCACCAATTTCCAAATGCTTGTTCACCTCTCTCTTCACTCATAGTGTCCCTAGGGGGCCTGAGATACTGTTGCTCTGCCACCAGGCAAAGGAGAAGTGCCCTTGCTCTGGGCGTAGGGACTTACAGCGGGGCTTTCCGACCGAGTCCTGGTTTCCCGGAAGAGCTTTGGCATCACTGGGGTGTCAGAGCCATCCCCATCTTCCCCGTCACCATCGCCTGTCAGATCCTTTATAAAGAAAACATGAAGAAACCTTAAATGTCATTAAAAAGTCACACAAACGACATACTTTTAGAGTCAATCGCATAGAAATTCATCAAAATACTGATCCAAGAGACATAAAAATATGTTCAACTATTTCCTTTTGTTCCAATAAGATTTTATGTAACAAGCCGGGCACAGTGGCTCACATCTGTAATTCCAACACTATGGGAGGCAGACGTGAGAGGATTGCCAGAGCCCAGGTTTGAGACCAGTCTGGGTAACTTGGCAAGACCTCGTCTCTACAACAGCAGCCTCCACAACTCAGATCAAGGATGCCGAGGCCGTGAGCACGCCACTGGCCTGGGTGAAGAGGGAGACTCCAACTTTAAAAAAAAGTTTTTATAACAGCTCACCAAGGATCACAAATTCAAGACAGGATGGAAAGAAAAACCCCAGCAGAATTAGCAAATCAAAGCAGTGAGGTGACTGCAGTATGTAAGCCCAGCATGCCTATGCCTGGCGGGAGAGCGCGTCTGTTACCACGATGCACAGCTCACGGCAGAAGACATGGCCACTCAGGGCGACACGCGACATAACACCAGGAAGCAATGCCACTAACCCTGCATCACGTCACGACGACCCCTCATGCAGGCCCCATGCCTCACACCGCAACTCAACATAAACCAAACACAAAAACTGAAGCAGTGAGCAGCTGGGAGGTCTGGCTTGAGTGCTAAGCACTTTTCACTTACCAATCATGTGGCCTCGAGTCCATTTCCCTCTCTTTAAAATTGGAATAACAGTACATCCCTCATAGCACATAGAACAGCACTTCCCTCGGGTTACAGCAAAAATCAAATAAAGCATACTTAGCCTAGTGCGAAGCACAACAGAAATACTCAGATTTCCTTCCTGTTACTGATAATCAAGAACCAGAAACTACAGAGCAGGGGCCAGAACACTGCTGTCAACTCCTCACCTGCCTCTCCCTCACCACACAGGCCCCCTGAGTGGGCTGCCACCACCAACAGAGTGAACGCCAATGATGGTTGTTCACTGTCCATGACTTCTATCTTTATCCATTCCCAGTACCTAACATTGGCTCTTTTGAGTAAAAAAGTGCCCAAAATTCTAAGATTAATTAAAAAACAAAATGCATAGGGCCAGGCGCATTGGCATATGCCTATAATCCCAGCACTTTGGGAGGCCGATGTTAGAGGATTGCCTGAGTCAATGGGTTCGAGACTAGCCTGGGCAAATTGGTGAGACCTCATCTCTACAGTAAAATAAAAAAATTAGCCAGGCGTGGTGGCGTGTGTCTATTAATTCAGCTATTTGGAAGGCTGAGGTGGATCGTCGGAGCCCAGCAGGTTGAGACTGCAGTGGCTGTGAGCGTGCCACTGCACTCCAGCCTGGGTGACAGAGTGAAACTACCACTCAAAAAAAAAAAAAAATACACAAATTAATTTTTAAAAATCTTTATTTGAAGAAAATGGAAAAATATAACTCTGGGGGGAAAAAAGCCAGTAGTTCATGCCTGTCATCCCAGCATTTTGGGAGGCCAAAGAGGGAGGATCACTTGAACCCAGGAATTCAAGGCTGCATGTAGTGAGTTAAAATCACATAACTGTACTCCAGCCTGGGTGACAGAGCAAAGCCCTGTTCTGAAAAACAAGAAAGGCTGCGCAGAGGCTCACATCTATAATCCCAGCACTTTGGGATGCCGAGGTTGAGAGGACTGTCTGAGCCCATAGGTTCGAGACCAGCCTGGGCAACTTGGCAACACCTCAACTCTACAATAAAAAAAAAAAAAGAAAAATCAAAAAATTAGCTGAAAACGTAATTGTACACCTAACCCTTAACTGTACCCCACAAAACTATAATAAAAATACTGATTATTAAAAAAAAAAAAAAAAATTAGCTGAGCTTGGTGGTGCATGCCTGTAGTTCCAGCTACTTGGATGGCTGAGGCAGAATGATCACCTGAACCCAGCAGGTGGGAGCTGTGGTGGCTGTGAATGTGCCACTGCCATCCAGCCTGGACAATAAGAGTGAGACTCTGACTCAAAAATAATAAAAATAATAAAAAAGCCCAGGCGTAGTGGCTGACACCTATACTCCCAGCACTTTGGAAGGCGGAGGCAAAGGATTGCCTAAGCTTAGAAGTTCAAGACAAGCCACAGCAACAAGGCAAGACCTCATTTCTACAATCAAAAAATTAGCTGGGCGTGGTGGCGCATGCCTGTGGTTCCAGTTACTTGGAAGGCTGAGGCAGAAGGATCATCTGAGCCCAGCAGGTGGAGGCTGCAGTGGCTGTTTAAGTGTGCCACTGCACTCCAGCCTGGGCGACAGAGTGAGACTTCAACTCAAAAAAAAAAACTTCAAGCGGGTTCGAGACCCACCTGGGCAATTTGGTGAGACTTCATCTCTACAATAAGTCAAAAAAAAAAAGCAAACTTCAAGCTCAAAAAAAAAAAAAAAGACTTCAAAAAAAAAAACAAAACTGGCTGGGTATGGTGGCTCAGCCTGTAATTGTTTGATTTACTGTAGAAATGAGGTCTCACCAAGTTGCCCAGGCTTATTTCGAATACCTGGGATTCAGGCAATCCTCTCACCTCCATCTCCCAAAGGGCTGGGATTACAGCCATGAGCCACTGTGTCCAGCCATCTTTTTAGGTCGTATAAGTACTTTACAGCTTGCCTTTAGTACAAGTAATTTGGTAATGCAGATTGCCAGCAGCACTACTCCTGCATTTGGGGTCATTAAGGGTTACTTGAACACAAGAACCAGTCTGACCACTGAGCTGTCTACTGACCGATTGGGTAGATGGACAGAGGACTCACGCCGCTGAGTGGAATAGAGCAGGATGATGTGAGAATCCCTCCCAAGTTAATTGCTTATTTCTAGAGTTTTCTATTTAAATTTCTGCAGACTGCAGTGGACCACAAGCAACCAAAACCATGAAAAGCACAGATAAGGGGGGACTATATTTGAAATTTATCAATGTAACTGAGCATTCAGATCAAAATAATCTTTAATATATGTAGAAAGCATCTAGTAAAACAAAACGTTTTGTAAAAAAAAACTTTAACTTAATTTGCAGATACCAATTTTTATGGGTCTGAGGCTGCCCATCTGATGAGAGCTAAGGGCATTACCCTTGAACCCTGAAAAAGGAGAAGAGACACAGTACCTGAGTGTAACTTAGCAGACTGGAGACTTCCCTTTTGGACAGCCGTGAGCTTGATCTGCGGCCTGTGAAGGAAAGAGGAGTCTGTGTTTGAGGAGGGGCAGGCGCCTGTCTGGGCAACACGCTTGCTGACAGGGCTGATCCCTGCAGTCTGGTATCTCCCCCAAAACTGATGCCATCTTCAGGGGTTAACTCTTAGCCCCTCGGCATCCCTAGTCCTCTGTTATCCACAGGGCAACAGAGCACAGGACCAGGCACATGTCAGGACCCAAAGCAGAACTCAAGGTACTCGTGAGGGTGGAATCAAATTCCTTCCAGAAGGGTACTACCCACCCGAGTGTCTAATTACATGAACAATTCAATTCGGTGTCTGTAGTGTCCAGCCACATTTCAAGTGCTCACTTGTAGCCACTGTCGTACGCAATACAGACACAATACCCTTGCAGAAAGTTGTTGGATGGCACAGCTGAGGATTGGACAGTACAGGGGTTTCCACTCAGCTGGGGTAGACTCCCAAGCGATCTGCTTTGGGAACTGCTATGGGTAAGGCAGAAAAAGAAGCAAGCCTCGTACCTCCCCCTCCCAACCCAGTCCCAGCCCAAGGGAAGGTGTCCTACTCTCCCTTGATGACCAAAGACTCCAGCCTATGCCAAGAACAGCCTGTCATGACCAAAGAGGACAGGGACCATTCACCTTTGGTGTCATTCACCCTTAGAGTTCCATGGGAATAGAGGCTATGGACAGACCTGACAAGTTGGCTCTGCCACCTTCTCACAGGAGCCATCTCTTTCCTTCCAGGGGGCAAGTTGCAGGGTGTTGGAAACCCTGTCCCCCAACGCCACCCCCCTTCAGCTTGCCAAGAGATCGTATCCCCCATGATCTGCTGCGACTGCCCACTGTGTCGGCATCTGAGCCCACCCACCTCTGATCTCCGGGGTGCGGATAGCCTCCAGGATCGGGGGCGAGTCGGAGGAGTGGTCGCTGCAGGCCCCGTTGACAATGAGAGAGTCTTCCCTCCCGCTGACGTCCTCCTCTCCATTGAGATGTCTGGTGTCTCCCTTCATTGTTTCCTGTGGGAGAAGCCAGAACAGACACAGGGTGGAAGAGGTACGAGGGTAGGATGCGCGCAAACTTCCCACCACCGGCTGTATATCCTTGGGCCAACAGAGGCACCTGGACCTACGCTCAGGGTGATATTCCTGCCCAGGTAGCCCACCCAAGTTGTCCCCCCCCATAGCCTGCCCCCTCACCAAACTCGGAGGCTCAGGACTTGGTTCCATGAGGCCAGGTGGCCCGAAAGCTCAGTCGCCAGCACCCAGGACAGAGAAGGCCGGGGCTAGGGTCTGAGGTT